AGATGGACTTTTAAAAATTTGATCCTATTTTAGAGTGGTAAAATGGCAATGCTTTAACTTTAGTTAAGAGAACAATGGTTACTTAAATACACCTTACTTAATAATGATAACCATTATAATACATTGTTGTTAGAAATATGAGTGGATTCCCAAAAGGCTCTTTATTAGAAAGTTCTACCACAACCCTTGACCCTATTCGCCTTTCTTCAGCTTTTTCTTTTGAACGTCTTCCTTCCATTGTAAAAAGAACCCTTTCCCAAAAAATAGAAAATCTTATAAAATACACTATTGTCCTTGAAGATGCTTGTATCCCAGGTAACACAACTTCCTTTTCTTAATCCTTATAAACTTTACCATCAAGGAAACTCTTTCACTTAAGGTATCAGGATTTTGATTCACTCAAACCGACCTCATCTAAAGAAGTAATCCAGACATCCAGTATGGATTAGTGTGGTATTTCTACTACCACGGCTGAACAATACATTACCCTTAATATTGCTTAACCTTTAATTGATGGATGGATCAACTAGGGTTGCACCCACCTTCATGTTGGAGCTATTCACCTTATCCTTACCTTTCATGGAAGAAATGGTATGGCAGCTACAACTAAGGTTCCTTTGTTAAATACTACCTTCAAGTCATATGGTAACACTTTAATCGAAGCCATGTTGACTACCCTCAACCAAGGAAGCATAATTCTTATTGTAGCACCTGATTTCAACATCAAACTCATTGACAAGACTCTTCCTAAGGGACTAAAAGTTCAAATCCAAATTCATGGAGCTAAATAGGAACCTAATGCTACTATGGCCATTCTTTACCACTAGATAATCTTTAGACTCTAAGATTATTCATTTGCTCTCAATTTTCCTAATGCAACTAGTAATGCTTTGTTTATGGTTGCAAACAATTCAGAGGATTTATCAATTTTATAAATTCCAAGATAGCTACATACTGAACAATTAGCTGACATGATGCCTTTGGAATAGATCAATAACTATGAAAAATAGTTCTATGGTGTTTAAAGAGATGTTCATACTACAGAACCTCCTATTTTGTTAAGGATGTAAGATGAACTGTTAAATTTATCTTTAAAAAGCCTAGAACTCAAAACTCAAACTAGATCTCTGGTAGGATTATGTCTATTTCTCCAACATTTTCTGCAGACAAAGAACACCTTCCGATCGAGTGGTTTGATGTAGATGCTCAACCTATTTATATTTCACATATCTATAGTCACTTTATTTAGGATTGTGTTCTAAAAATGTGTGATCTCAGTTGTGACTGCTACCTCAGGAATGATTCTGATAATGATGACTATAGTTCTAGATAAAGGAGAAGAATTAGGAAGCCTAAACATCCTAGATCCTTATGTGTACATAAGCAACCTCCAAAAGATGATAATGATAACCATAGCCTTAAACAACCTATAAAGAGAAAGTGGGTGTTACCTCCAAACCCTCCTACAAAAAGAAGTACTTTTTTCAAACTTCTTAAATAACTTGGCCATAAAGACCTCCTCCCTCTAGAAAAACTAAATCTAGTGATACTAGCCATTCCATAATCTTGCCTGCACTAGTACAAGCTTTGCCTTGTATCACAATGATGAAACCCTATAAGGAACAATTTCCTCCTCTTAAAAGAAATCGGATAATAAGATAAAGGTGATCAGTAGACCTTCTGTCCTATAGACAAAAGTGACTCCTCAAGGCACTCTCAAGCTTGTTACACCAACTAAAGAAGTTCTCAATTGGCTGTCTCAAAATGCTGTCAGTCAAAATAGAGTTCTTTACAGGATAGATTCCAAGCTTGATCATTTGACAAGTACAATAGAAAACTTGACTTCACAGGTTAATCAAACTAATGACTAAGTAAAGAATTTATACCAAAGACTCTACAAACAAGAACATAAACTAGATGAATAACTCTGCAGGTTTATCAACCAAGAATATGATGGGCTAGAATACTTTAGAAAACAAAAAAAAATTATAAGGTAAAGAAGCAATTATAGCAAATAGAAGCAGATCTAGCCCAAGACTAGTTCAAAACTATTTAAGAGTCTTATTCAACCTTTCCCACTATGACTAGACAATTTATTACTTCATTACTAGAAGAACTCTAACCAGAACTGCATAGAGCAATTAATGCACTAAGGAGAGATATGTCACAAGTCTTTCTTGGAGAAATCTATCAACTAGCCTTGTCTACTTTGGATAAGCTTTGCGACAACAACAATTTCTGAAGTTTATGTTGAAAAGAAAGCTAAGACTTTAGTAAGTCTGTAAAAAACCCTATTTGAAGATTAAGTGCAAAGAAAGTGATCTTTGCTTCTGCAAAATGAAAACTCATTTTCATAAATACAGGCACAAACCATTCAGACAAAGAAAGTGTTGTCTCTTTATATTCTTTAAACAATGAACCTCCAAGACTAATAAATAAGACTGATGTGCAAAAACATGTCCTAACAAATCCAAAAGAGATATGAAGTTATTGCAATCCTTTAAGATTGTCATTCCTTTCAACGATGGTTAGAATGTTGAATTTGTTCTTGAAGAGAAATTAGAAAAGGATAAAGATACTCACTATGTTTTACTAGTCTCTGATGATAGCTTAGATGATGAATAGTATCCCTATCGATACACACCTCTTTATGCCATTGGGCCTAGCCAAATTAAAAGCCCTAATCCATCCCTTTTAAACCCAACTCCCTCAGGCCTTATAAATCTCAATCAACCATACTATCCACCTCAACTACCACAGCCTAATGTAAAAATCTAGATATTACCTTCCAAATTTGATGTCTCTGTCTTTGTCATTGCCTTCATGGATATTGGTTCTTGCATAAATATTATGAAACCCCACATTCTCCCTTGAGAAGAATGGATTCCTTATAATGAGTATTTTGTCATGGTTGATGATAAGCTTTTCAAGATAGATCTTATTATCAAAAGAAAAATTAGTATAAGATTCTTCCTTGGATGCACATACTGGACAAAAGTTCTTGAAAACCATCTCCCTACTAAAGACATTCTTGTCGGATTTAATGTGTATAGAGAAACCAAAGACCTGTAGAAACTCCCTAAGGGTATTCGGTTTAAAAAGTTTTTCAAGAAATACATTGTTATCCCAAGTATTATGGAAATTCAAAAATCTTACCCTCTGAAAAGCATTACCATATAGCTTACAAAGAAGTCCTAGTTGTGAAATGTGGCATTGAAAAATTCAACTTCTACCTCAGCCCTTACTACTTTGTGATAGAAATGGACAATATGTCATTCCCAAAAATTTTAGAACAAACTAGGAAAATCCTCCCTATAGCCCAACTCCTTCAATGGAAAGACTAGTTTTCCTGCTATAAATTCAAAGTCTGACACATCAAGGGAAATCACGATACCATTACTGATTACCCCACTAGACCTCAAAAGAAAAACAATCTCATCACCCTTCTAAAAAAACCACCCCTATTCATCTTAAACATTATGCCCAGCAATTTAGTTCTTCCACCAGATCATAATCTAACTGTTGTCCTAGAAGTCCAAAAGCTATCCAAAAGGAGTTTGTCTTACTCGCTCCACATCCTCCTTCAAAAAACCCAAATTCAACCCCAACTTAAATATTTTGATATTCAAGCTCCTTACCTTGCTATTCCTTTTATTAGAGGTCATATTCCGGATGAACTCATGTGGCATATTTGGTTTTTATCCTCTCTTTATATTGATGTTATAGCTGTTACTCCCCTGTAGATATTTCATTATCTATATGACTCAGCCCATGAAGATTCAAACTTATGGAAGCTCTTTGAATGGGTTGTACCTATTTTTAGATGGTGCAAAGAACTTTGCTGAGTAGTCTAAGAAGAACTATTATGGAAAATTCCATTCCAGGAACAAAATGCCTACTCTTTGTTTGTGGTTCATCATCCTTATCACCTTGACAGTAAATGAAAGCTTTACATAGCCAACTAAGCATGCCTGTAGAAGACTACTTGGATAACATAAGAAGACTCCACTTTAATTGAATTAAAAGAATTTTTATGTGAAATGAATAATTATCCAGTTTCAGATCCTAATCTAAAGTGCACATCTCTTGGTCCAATACTCCATCAACTTTTACTTCTAAGTGTCCCGTCTCCATCTATTCAGTATGAATTCCCTAAATGGTTCACAAGCCTTGCTGTACGAACAAGATACTTTACTTGGATGGAATCCTATAATGGAGAATCATCATCTACACCTCCATCATTCTCACCAGACAATCAAGACCCATATCAGATAGAGACTTAAACTTATTAACTTTTCCCAGAGTTAAAGAACACAACACCCCCAGGACTTACTCAGGATATGGATCAAGACTTTGATGAATAACTTGAAGAACCCATGTGCAATAGTCTTGCAGCAAGAAGGCGCCACAAGAAAGAAAAAAGTTGGCTCAACCTAGAATACAACTAAGAGTGCATCCACAAAAGCCTGTGCCAATCACGGAATGAATGTGCTTTTAGTCATATCTTCTTTTAAGAATCTATCTTGTAGCCACTTTTTTAAAAGTCACTTTTGACTTTTGGATAAAGCAGTTTGCTTTTAGTTATGTCATCCTGTTTTTACTTTTATTTTATATAAAGTAACCAGGCATGTGATTAAAGTTTGTCCAATTGTAATCATGCACCATCTGTCCTGATCTTCTATATTATGTCTATATAAGGAGGTTTCGATTTTCTTAGAAGGCAGAACTTGTTTGGAAACTCTTTCTCTCTCCTAAAAGCTTGATTCCTTAATGTCCTATTTCTGTCATATCTAGATACAAGTATGCTGTGCACTTGCCTCTTTGAGGAACCTGTGCATCAGAAAGAATCTAACCAATGATCCATGTGTGTGTGAGCCCATGTTACTAAGGGTATTCGGTTCAAATAGTTTTTCAAGGAATACATTGATATCCCAAGTATTATGGAAATTCAAAAGGCTCCTCCAGGATATGAACATATCAGGGATCAACTCCTTGAATCATGCTGTGAAAGTCATAATCAATTTCAACATCCATCTCATTTATGAAAGAACAAAGAGTTTTTCATTAAACTCCCTTTCAAGAAGAATGAATATGTTAATCCAATAAAAGCATCATATCTTGGGATGAATCCAGAAGATCTTGCTTTGGCTAGAGAAGAATATACAGCTTTACTCAAACAAGAATCTTTGGGACTACCATGCATGAGTTCTGCCCCCACAGAAAAGTAATGATCAGTATATATACATTTTATTTTATATATTTTAATATTTCAAAATTTATGTTATTTATGCATTTTTATTATATAAATTCACTATATCAAATCTTTATATTATATATATATATATATATTCAAAAATCAAGTTTTAAATAAAAAAAATCATATATGCATAAAACTATGTTCTTTTTAGTAGTTATACTTCTAAATATACTTTTCATCATATGCTATCTGACATTAGAAAATATATATTTAAATATAAATATCGTTATAAACTTATAATAATTAACTTTTATCAAACTCATTTTTTGATAAATAAACTTTAATAAACGAACTTTTGCCAAATATTGAAACGAAACGCTTCTTGCGTTATCTCTCTCCCCTTCAAATTCACCACCTTCTTTTGTTAATAGTTGTCACATGCTTGCCGACCATGGCCACCTGGGAGAAGAAAAACATGAGCAAACAGGTAATTTATTGAAGATATAACCTTAAGCTCCAGGAATACTCAACTTCTCGATGCCTGAAAGAGAGTGCGTGTGTGTTTCTCTGTTCCGACCACCTTTTTTTCTAGTAAAATTTCACTTCCAGGCATCTAAATATCACACACGACATTATAGGTCCATCAAAATCCTAACTAGCTTTGCTTTTAGGCTCCTTAATGCTCAATACCATCATCTTCTCTCGGACCCAGTAGTGACCCTTCCAAAAGTCCAAACTCTGTTTTGGTCTTTTTGGAGTACATCAACACATGATCAGGATGAGCTCAAAAAATGATCATTGCTTCATTTCTTTGAGATAGCACTTATTGATGGGCTTAATTTTTTTTGTCAGTATTGATGGGCTTAGGGGGATCATAAACCCGAATTTTTTTTGCATTTCTTAATTTTTTAAAATATAAAATGTAATGTTCAAAAATTTGAAATAAGGAACCTAAATTCTAATTTTGAAGTATGAATGCAGATTTTAAAATATTAATTTTAGAAGCTTTTTCGGCTTATAAAGGGCAACCTGGTACTCCCCTTTCTTTTCTCTGACCAAGGTTTGACCCTTTTCTTTTGGTTCTAAACCCCCCCCCCGGGGGGGGGGGAGCAGGCAGTTCCATGTGCAGAATTCTGACGAGGCTGCCATTTGGTAGTACAGGAACTCACAGCAAAACTAGCCTGGAAACAGCTGATCAAAATTGCAAAGCTTTGAACAATTTGCCATTGTTGCAAACTCAGCAGTGTCAGGAATATTGATGGCCCAAACAGTCCATGTCATTTAAGAAGCCCTGCTGCTATATATATTCTGGATCTGCTTTCAAGGAGGGGGTTTGGCGGGGTGGAGGGTGATATCTACGTATTTGTTTATAGTAAAATCTGGGAAGAAGATATGTACAGAGGCGAGCAATATCTGATAAGTTTTACTATTATTTAAGTTGAGTCGGTTTATATAAGAAAATCATTTCCTAATCAATAACATACATAAACACAGATCAACGAGGAGGGAAGCAGATAATAGTTTTAGCTTTAGCAGCAACATGTACAGAATAATGAATCACTGGCATTCATTTTATTATCAAACATGAATTGAACAAAGCACCTGCGTGTGTGGGACTAGATCTTCAAGCCATGTTTTGCTAGCTTCTCTTGAGATATAACATCAAGCCGTTCTGCCATGTCAAACGTGAGATGATTTTTCCAATCTCCCACTACCCCACGTATAAAATAATCCCTATTCTCTACTCCAAACATTGCAATTGACTTTCCATTTTTATTCACTTCTAGATTGCTCAAATTCTCAAAACTACAAAGCTTCAATATATCATTCACCACATCATCATCACCATTTTCTTCTTCCTCCTCCTTCGAAAAACCATGTCCTAAAAACTCAGCAAGCTCCTTCAAAATCTTAACTGGTTCGTTCTTCAGCTCCTCAAATCTCAAAAACTTTATCTTCCCTGGCCTCTCTAAACTCTCTTTATAGTATCCCAACATGTGATCCCAAAATGGCCCATAACTACTCACTCCTCCACAAAACTCCTCAAAGAAATTCTCAATCGAATTAGACCCTTTGGTTTCTGGTTTAATATTCTTCCTGAAATGCCAGAGTGAGGCAAAGATGTCTTTAGGATTTCTACACAAGTACACTATCTTACACCCTACTTGCTTTGCAGATTCCGACAATGAAATGTATGGGAAATGGCTTGCGAATATCCTCGGTGCTGGAAACGAGCTTAGATCTGGCTTTGTTTGTTGAAGGTATAGTTTGATCTCCAAGAAAGGTACAAGAGCATGAGGGTTTGAAGTGAGGAGAGGGTGAAGAGGATGATGACTAGTTCGGGTCGGATCTGGATAATGGGTCTTTCGATTGATTATGGAGAAAACAAGGGCTTTAAGCCATGTAATGCCAGATTTGGGAAAGGAAATAAGGAGGAAATCAGAGTGAAGGGCTTGAAAGTGGTTCTGACATTGGAGGACTCCATGCATAATCCTCTTGGGATACCAAAAGCCTTGGTATTGGCAAAGCTGGATCCCATGGTAATCCAGTACAGTAGGCAAGGTGTCTATGAAATCTTGGCATTCTTGAGGGTGTAGGTCTTGATCATCATCAGCTTCCTGGTAGTTCTGGGGAAGAACAGACACAGTGAGATCAGAGTCGGGTTCAGAGTTTTCTACTTCCATAGGTACAAAAGATGGGGGGAGTTGTTAAGTACAGAAATGATGGCAGTTAGAATTTTTATGCATGGTGTAGAGAGAGAGAGAGAGAGAGAGAGAATAGTTAGATACGGAAGTGATGGCGCTGAGCAGCTAGTGAGAATTTTTATCAATGGTATAATGTTCAGACTATGTATAGGAAATTGTTGGCCATTACTATTATTTATAAGAGACGAGATGGTTGTGCCTCTCACTTCCAGCATTTTTACTGATTTTCTTAAATTTCATTAACTTTATATAAAAATTCAATAAATTTTTTATTTTATACATATTAAATGTACATATTTTAAAAATAAATTATTTTAATATATAATAATCTTCCCAACATTTAATAGAGATATAAAGGCAATCATAGACACAATAATCATTGAGATATTTTATAAATATAATCAAAATAAATACTTTTTCTTTTTCCTCTTATATATAAATACAATTATTATGCATGCTAATTAATACTCCATCTGTTTTTAAAAATAAGAAAAATTTAATCAATTCATGCAGTTTAAGAAAGTTGATTAATCTTTATAATTATATATGAAATTGAAATGTTTGGACTAAAATACCCTCATGATTAAATAGTCATTCTTTTATCCTAATTTAATGACATTATCATTTGATGAAGGCCCTGATTAAGGCGAAAGATACAATAAATTTTTCTTGAAAATTGTTGTTTTGCTTAATAAGAAAAAAAAACATACATTTTGGTCCTTACATTTTGTTCGTGTTTTGCTATAAGTTTATGTACTTTTTTCGATGTTTTGGGTCCTTGTACTTTTATTTTTCTATGTTTTAGATCTTTAAATGAATAAATTGTAGAGAATGTAAAACATCAAAAAATAAAAATATAAGGACCTAAAATATTAAAAAATATAAAAATTTATAATAAAATATGAGTAAAGTGTTGAGATTAAAATATATGATTTTCTTTAAAAAAAATCACATAAAAGTTTTGTTTATATTTAAAATCTGGAGGGAATATATATGCAGAATTTGTGGTGGTTGATTGGAATAAAAGTAAAGAATTGAAATGCTTAGGTGATCAGAGTGGGGTCTTCAAATTAAAGATAGCTTACGATGTGTCGTTTTCAATGACGCCCATAAGACAAAGGACTACAGCTGTAAATCAATTTGAAGTTTGTGGAGTAAAGAAGATGGTCCCAATTAATCGAGTCAAACTCGATTCCTCCAATCTCTCCAAACGGAGTTCATATGGGAACATAGGAGATCTCCAGCGTATAACCTTGTGCTATACCCTGTGCGTGCGTGCGTGCGTGTAATATACACATAGATCAAGATATATAATACTTTACTAGTTATATTTATGCTTCTGAACTTTGAACTTCGAAGCCTTGTGTCACGGGCTGAAAGTCTGGCGCAACACACGGCGCCCGTGCGGCGTCCTGGAGGACCTCATAGTCCTCAGGACAAGCCTTATCACATACGGATCACACTGGTTTCGCCCTGCCATGGGCTCATCAGGGAGGCAGCACTCGCCCCCGACCAGTTGTGCACTCAGTCTGAAGACTGAGGCAGAACACCCCCAATGCCAATGTCACCCCCTTTACCCATATTGTGTGAGGCTAACTAGCGGATCGTTCATTATCTTGGTCTTTACACGGTCACGGAGATATCATCCGTGACATTCTCCCACACCCAATCTAGCACGCCCTTGTGCTAGGGGAGAAAGACTCCGCCCAAGGATCGTACGTACAGTACTGCCACAAACACATCAGCTTACTGCTGAGTGGCCACCCGAGTCCTGCACTCTTCGGACTCACTCGCACCCGCGAGCCAACAGGAGTGGAGTCGACAACGGCCAACCTTCCCGTTCGAGTCCCCACTTTTGAATCCACCTACTCGGAGGCCTTTCTGGAGCGGTACCGAGGTCGACCAGTCCCTACGTGGGACCCCACAGGCACACGGCAGTAAAGTACGTCCTGCTCTAATACCACTCTGTCACGGGCTGAGAGTCTGGCGCGGCACACGGCGCTCGTGCGGCGTCCTGGAGGACCCCATAATCCTCAGGACAAGCCTTACTACATACGGATCACACTGGTTTCGCCCTGCCATGGGCTCATCAGGGAGGCAGCACTAGCCCCCGACCAGTTGTGCACTCAGTCCGAAGACTGAGGCAGAACACCCTCAATGCCAATGTTGCCTTCTTTACCCATATTGTACGAGGCTAACCAATGGATCGTTTATTATCTTGGTCTTTACACGATCACGGAAATATGATCCGTGAGACTTGACTGTGGGTCGAACTCATCTTCACAGAGGAAAAAAGCATCCATACAAAGATAATCACATCACATGTCATGTCTACTTGTCCCAGCTGGTCAGTATGTGACATTGGGAGATTTGTCTTTTATCTTTGGACAGTTTCGAAAATACTCTTTCGAAGCATCTCTTCCCATTAATCTATATATGTACATATATAAAATTAGTTATAACATTGGATATATAGCAAAAAATATAAAAACTAACAAAAACAAAAGAGAAAGAGAACTTATCGGGGAGAGAAATCAAAGAACATAATGTTCTTCATTAGTTTGTACAATACGCTGTACATAACTCCATTTATAATTTGCCACTCATACACACACTATACAACTTTAAATTAAAATTTGTCTTTTGATATAGAGATTAGATAGATAATTAAGGTAAAAAAGAGTACATGTAAAAACACAAATTAACTAGATGACTAGTTTTACATGGACAGGGAAAAACAAGAAGCATAATTTAGCTTGTAAATAAAACTGAAAAGAGCTGTAAGCAAGCAACATGAATCTTGAAGTAAATGCCATGTAGGACACAGTCACATCAATAGAAAATAGAAGCTGAAATAAACTTTCCATCAAAGGATATTTCACAAGGTATTGCCATATCCCAAGCAAGATGTGCCCTCAAAAACACCTGATGCCACAATGGGCATTGACTAGAGAAAGGCTAATGGAGAGCAAACCACACGAACACCTCCAGAGGATTGCTTGGCTGCCTTCAAGTGAAGCAGCCACTTCCACATATGAAGAGAAAATCCAAAAAACACTTGACGACAGATCAGACCTTGATACATACATACATACATACATACATACATAATCCTCTATGACCTGCAAAAAAACATACAGACCTTGAATTCTTTTTCTTCGGGATCATAACGTTATCACTTTCTATAATGGCTCCTCTTAAAAAGCAAAAGGATGAAGTGGCAAAATCTCTTTCTCCTATTTTCCTTTCCTTTTATTTTACTTTCTTCTCCATTTACTTTTAGGTTTTTTTCCATAAATTTCTGAATTTAAAAATAAATTCCAAAAATATTGAAACCTCACGTGACTATCATTCACAAATTCACTTTTACTTTCACAATCACCTAATTAATTGAATTGATTTCATCACCTCTTCTCCACTACAATCAGATTTAAAAGTCACGTGCTCTCCACTTCCTTTATCCATTTTCTCTCATTAACACAATTCACTACACACACATTTTTTTTGTTCACTGCCTCTTCTCATCAAAGACAATCACGCGCACTCAATTCACATTTCCAGATTTTATTGTCAGCAAACTTCACATTTCAGGAGGATATTCCATTGACGATCAGATTCACTCACTCACTCTAACATTCACAATCTCATCACCGAATTCACACATGATCGCTCATTCATTTTTCCACCTTCTCTTTATCATCTCTCTCTATCGTCTTCTCCTTCATCTCTCTAGATTCTGCTAGAATTCTCCTCCATTTCCAGATTCCAATCCGTGCAAACTCCTCCTTATTCTATATGCACAATAACCTTTATCTTGATTCGGTCATTCTCTTCCATTCTCTTCAACTGAGATCTTCATCTTCTTTCATCAATGGCTGAATTTTTCTGCACATTTGGAGCTGGATTTGAGGCTGTGATGAGGTGGTGCTACAGGTTCATGATTCCTATGAGATTGATAGATTGACTATTGAATTCACGGACTTCAATGGCCAAGGATTTCCAGTCTCTATTTTCTCTTGATTTATTTTCTTCTCAAGGTGTTTGATTAGATGCCTTTGTCATTTTGGTTGAGGATATTTGTTACTGAAATTGTTGCTTAATTTTGAAGTCAATGATTTAATGCATAGTTGTGTTGAATTATTGGATGTTCTTGGCATTAGCAATTGTATAGTTATATTGTAAGGCCTTGACAAGTTCTAATTGAGATTAATTAGAAATTAATTCTTGGTTAGACATTGTTTTAGGTACTATTCTAAGCCAATCAGTTAACTAATGACACATTGGGAGCTTAATAATGCTAATTTAGTTTGCTACATGACTACTATTCTCTCCATTTCTATACAAAAGAGGAAAAAAACTGTATCACATAATTTAAAAAAGTTGGCTAATCACAATAATTATGTCTCAAAATAAAAAAAAATAGACTAAAATGCCTTATATTAATTGACATAAGCATGCATTAATCATTTCTCATTAATATAAATTATGAAGGGTGATTTAGGAAATGTGTAATAAATGCTTATTGAAATAGGTGATTTTGCTTATATAAAAAAGCGAGTAAAAAGTGATAGCTTCTCCTACAAATAGAAACGAAAGGAGTAATGGTTAAGGTTGTGTGTGTGGCTTTGTTAGTTATGTTTGGGATGATCTTGAACTACATTTGACCATTGAGAGTATTTCCTTAGATATTTAATTGTTGAATGAGGATTTCTATATTATACTCCTAGGGATCACTTTCATTTATTGTTGCAAACACATGTTCATTTGTTCACTCATTTTTACCAAAATTGCATAAACATTAGGTAGATTCTTAGTTGCATTTTCATACAATTAATCAAACTAGTTTCTCTTGTTGTTAATAGCACATTTGATAATCATTCTTATAAACAATTTAAAATCCAACTAGTTAGAGGATTCAATCTAAGTTGCTCCTTATGCACATTAGGGTATTTACTTAGTTTCATTTTGTGCATACGTGACTAATACATATCAAATTTTGGTACCATTGTTGGGGAATTGGATTAAATTAATTTTTGATTGATTGTTTGGTGTTTTTAATTTTTTTCCATTTGATTTTTCCTTTATTTTTCTCTATTTTGTCCAAAAAATTTATGTAAAATAAAACTTTTTTT